TCTGTTGCTGTGTGCTTTATGATAACACAAGACTGAAACCATAGCAAGATTAGAGGGGCGTAGCCTCTGGAGTCTTCATGACCTTTAGGTCCAAAGAGAAGGGTCTGGAAATCTGTGTCCACAGTGGCCCACCTCCCTTCCCACCTCCAGGGGAATAAACATCAAAGGTCACCCTGCAACTGCTCAGCCTTGAGGCAGACGCTGGGAAGGACCCCAAAGCTTTCTCCCTGAAGTGGAGGCAGGAGGTACTTTCACCTGGACCCTCACCAGCATCTCAGCCCGCCCATGGGTGTTACACGCACATCCATCCTCTGCCCAAGCAGGGACTCAAAGATCCCAGCACCAAAGAAACAAAATCCCTTTCCCTTTATCTCACTGCACATCTGGAAGAGACCAACATTGCCAAGGAGAGCTTTCTTATAAGCCCGGGGAAACCAAAAGGAAATTAAACAAGGAAAGAATATGCCCATGGGAGAAAGAAACTTTAGTTTACTGTAGAAGTTTCTGAATCATTTTTTCTTCTACTTTGTTTCTTTGGCCTTCCCTTCCCTGGGGCCAGTTTGTCTAGGAATTCAGTTTTGTAGATGTTCAGAGGTACACACAGATGACCAGTGGGCTTGGTCCTTATTCTGGAAGAGAACTGCCTTGCTCACAGTTCTTTGGATCTCCAGTAGTATGGACACATGGAAGGGTGCTTCTTAGCCCAGTGCGCCAAGAAACTGTCTGCAGGTAGGGCAAACGTTACCCTACCCAAATGTCCTGTGTTTTCCCTGCCCAGATTGTTTAACCTCCTGAAGTTCTCTGTGCTTCTGAGATGAAGTTTTTCCTTCTTGAGTGTTTTTTATTTTTCTGAATCTTGTGAGCATGTGTAGTTTAAGGCCAAAGGAGCATGAAAATGGTTTAGAGAAGCTCTTGCAGAGAACTTGTTAGGGGTGCATTTGAGGTGAATAAGATCGTGAGAAAATGGTGGAGGGCCAGGTGGGATGGGACAGCACACATTTATAGTGGACCCCATCAGCCCTGTTTGTTGCTGATGTTCATTGTTAGATGGCAAGCACTATTAACAAGCTCCTTAGACAAGTGAACTCACTCTGTCCTCACAGCACCCCAAATCTAGGTTCTTCCATAATCCTCAGTGTACTGGAAGGCTTGATGAGAGAAAGTAACCTGCCTGAGGGTCTCATATCACCTAAGTTGTGGAGCTGTGTGTTGTGAGCTGTGTTCTGGGCCAGCTGGAATGTTTTTCACCAGCAGCATCGGGCCGCCTGGAAGCAGAGATGCCCTTGGTTGGGTTTCGAGGGTGGCACTGACTAGGTGGCTGCAGGGGATGATGGAAGAATGTGCGAAGGAGTGGAGGATGCTTAGAGAGGTGTGTTGAAATGACAGAATCTGCCTGCGGTTGCATGCCAAGGTCAGGGCTGGGGACTTGAGGTCCTGAAACCTGGGTTTGAGAGGCAGCTCTTCTACATGAGGGTCCCTGTTCATCCTCTTAGGACTTGAGTGCTTGCCTTGCCTTCCAGCCGGGCTGTCATGACGATCAAGGCTGGACATGCTTTGTGAATTATAAAGGTGGCATTTTTTTAGGAAAATGATCCATGCTAAAGAAAAAGTATGAGCAAAAAAGTTTATTATAGCATTATTTATGATGGTGAAAAAAATTGGCAACAAAATGTCCAGTAGTAGAGGTTAGGGAATCAAAATGACAACTGTGAAGTTTATGTAGTGACACAGGCAATGGTAGGATATATGAATAAATATCAAAAATAGAAAATAAATTAGTAGGTTAAATTCAGGATGTAACTTTATATTTACTGTAACCAGAATACACATCCAGTGCCCCCAAAGTATAGTGGAAAGGACAGAGCCTTTCAGTTTGACAGATCTGGGCTGACATCTGAACTGACAAATTTATCACTTGTGTGGTCTTAGGCAACTAAGTTGGCCAGTCTGACCCTAGTTTCCTCATGAGTGTGATGCAGATGACAACACTACCTCAGAGACTTGTGAAAGTTCAGTGACTTCACGGCTCAAAACACTAAGCATGGTGCCTGGTACAAAGAAATCACCCAACAAATGGTAACTATTAATTATTATTATCAGCAGCTCAGATGGAGAAGACAAAGAGTACACACCAGAAATGATAATCATGTTGGGGTTGTGAATCATTTTTTCCTAACGTGTTGCAATTAAGAAAAACACACAATGGAAGTAAAAAGACCACAAAAGCCAACAGAAAACTCAAGATGGATTTTAACCTGTAGTATCTAAGCCTCTTCCCTTAGTCTGGCCCTTCTTCCATATCCTCAGCCTCGCCTGTATCATTTGTACCCATGCAACAAGACCCAGATGCCAGACCTCTTCCTTGCCGTTAAGGCGTTGGTCAGAGCAGCGTGTTGTAAATCAGCGTAGCTAACGGTATACTTCTCTGTATAAAATGCCGCCTTGATATGCTCCATCAAAATTGGTATGAGTTTTACTTCGCCTCTGTGGATCTTACCAAGTGTGCTTAGTCTTCAAAAGAAATCAGTGTTTCCATAGTACTTAACATTGGCTTGTTCCATTTTTCTAACAAAAATTCCAAGTTACATTTAATCTTGTTCTTCATCGGCAAGTCAAATTTTTTGAATGATAGCACACTCCTTTCCTCCTCTCCTCATTTGTTTATTTTTAAGACCTGTTTCTGGCTTAAGCCAGCTTTGCCTGGACTTGAACTGAGGAGGAAATATAGCTCTATTATTTCAAATACAATGACCAATTTAGAGGGTATGAGGATTTCAACTGTGTTCATAAATCATATCTTTAAGTTTACCTAAAGAAAAGTATCAATAAATGACTAACGCGATTATTTTTTTCTTCCAGGAGGGCCAGGATTAGTTTTATAATATGTGGGATATTTCAGGGCTTACCTGATTTTTCCATCTTAAATCTTTCTTGGTTAAATCTTTAAGGGCCTAGGACTTCACTGGCGGTCCAGTGGTCAGGATTCCGCACTCCCACTGCAGGGGTGCACGTTCAGTCCCTGGTCGGGGAACTAAGATCCTGCATGCTGCGCGGCGCAGCCAAAAAAATTTTTTTGATTAAAAAATTAAGAAAAGAGAAGAGAGTGTGAAACCTTAGTGGAAGGTCAAGAAAAAAAAAGAAAAATTAAAAGCAACATTTAAAAAAAATCTTTGAGGGCCTAAAAATATATTATTAGTATCACTGCTGTTTATATCATATAGGTGTATTTTTGTTTACTTAAAAAGGTATTTTAACATAAATTTTAAAACAAATAGCTGCTAATTATAATGTATTACTGCTGAATTATAGGATTCGAGAATTATGGGACTCCTCTGGCTCTCCAGTGGTTAAGACTCTGTGCTTTTGCCGCAGAGGCCATGGGTTCAATCCCTGGTCAGGGAACTAAGATCTACAAGCCACACAGCGCAGCCAAAAAAAAAAAGGTTCCGGAATTATAAAGTGGTAAAACATTGTGTGGAAAGTGATGAACCTTCCAGAAGCAAAGGAAATTCTCTATAAAACTATAAAAGGGCCTATTAGTAATGCAGTTGTCATCTCTCTCTCCTTACCTGGGAGGAGCAGAATAAAGTCAACAGGCACTGGATCTTTGCTCAGGTGGAAAAAAGCAGATCAAGTGTCTTCTAAGGCAGGGGTCGCTTATGTGGCTGATTTAATTCAGTTACTAGTCCTCATTCTTTTAAATGACTGTAAAAATGGGACTCACCTTCTCAGTGGACACATGTACCCTTTGGCAATAGCAAGTGTGCTTATTCCATGTAAACTAGCTCATGAAAAAAAGAAAGTCATCTCTCTTGGAGGCTCACAGCAGCATTCTCATTCAGAAGAGCCACAGCTCTAAGACCTGCAAGCCCCTCATGTCCTCTGTTGCTGGGCGTTGAGAGGAGCGATAGATGAGAAGATAGAGCTGCACAGGTAGGTCAGGTAGGTCTCTGAACATCCCCTGAAGCAAGGAAATGACCCAATCAGGTTAGCATTCCGGAAGAGTCCTTCCAGCTGCAGTAACCACCCTTTGTTGCCTAATAAGAAGCTAATACGATTGCTGCTAGCCCCAAACCTCAGGCACTGGACGTCTAGATTGGCCCTTAGAAGTTTACTTGGCAGGCAACTTCGGCTGCGCAGAAAGAGACCAATGTCTTAGCAACATCATTCAGAATAAGCTAAGGAAGTCCAGGCCAGAATTCGGACCAAGTTTTGGAGCTGGAGGAGGGAGGAAATAGTGGATGCCAAAAAAGATGTATTACAAAAACCTGTAGGGTTTTTTTTCCCAGCTAAATTACTAAGTTTCTTTAAAATATATGTGCATTTGCGTAAGCTTACTAATAAGATGCTTAAATCTGTTAAAATATTCACAATTCTGCTCTTAGAAATATTTTCTGTATCTAATGGCTTCTATCAGTCACCACTGGAGCAGCTGTCAGTCACGTATTAATATTTAGTGAACACCGTGAGCCTTAAATTTAGTACCATGAAGAACAAAAGGTAAATACATACTCGTTCGCTATTTCAGGATATCTCAAACTCTGTGCCGGCTTCTCTTATAAAAACTAGTTAGAAACTGTGAACCTCTTGTGGTTTCCTAGATGAAAAATTGGATTCCAGAAAATTTCTATGTGAGTTTTATGTGAATCCAAGAACTTGCCTTAACTTTCCAAATTTAATGTATTACATTACAATGAAAATAACTTTCAGTTACTATACATCCTCTTGGCAGTTCTTTGCTGGACTACATCTATTCTAGCAAACAAGTTACCTCTCAATAAATTAGAAAAAAATAGGGAACATATGTCTTGTGAATTATTTATTTTCTTTCACAGAAAAGGACGAGCCTCCACTTAGCAAGGCCGGGCAAGATGTTGTTTTGCATCTGCCCACAGATGGAGTGATTCTGGATGGCCGTGAGAGCACAGACGACCACGCCATCGTCCAGTATGAGTGGACACTGCTGCAGGGTGACCCGTCAGTGGACATGAAGGTAATTCATGTCGTAATTGTAATGAAAACTAATGTTTCAGTGCAGTGGTCTTTCTACTTAGGTTCCCCAAATGTCTGTAAGTTGGCAGAAGTGCAAAATGGAGAAAGCATAAAAATGATTGTTGAAAAAATGTTATATGAATTTACTTTTCTACTGAGTTAACAGTGATCCTGACCATGTGTTTTGTTTTTATTTATTTATTTATATTTTGGCTGAGCCTCGTGGCTTGTGGGATCTTAGTTCCCCAACCAGGGATCGAACCTGGGCTCTCAGCAGTGAGTGCATGGATTCCTAACCACTGGACCACCAGGGAATTCCCTGACCATGTGGTTTGAAGCTTCCCCTCGTTCTTACTGCTTTTTTTTTTTTTTTTCCGGTACCAATAAGTCTTTATTCATTGTATTTTCCCAAGGAAAAGAAGGGGAAGGGAAAAGGGTCAGCATGTGTGTTACAAAATGATAGCAAATGGGAAAGGAAGTACCTGGCACAGCAAAATCAACCAACAAATAAACACTGCCCAGATGGGGTCGCCAAAGCCCAAGGGGGCTCAGTCTCCTGCAGTTCAGTAATGAGGGGAAGGGATGAAGAACAGGTACATGCTTTTCTACCCTCCCTCCCTCCCCATAAATTCAAGATTTCACACAAAGCTTTGGTTTCTAGCAGTAAACATGGAGTTACGTTCGTCTCCTGTTAAACAATTTTGTGGCCACTTTGACATAAGTTTCTTGCACCTGCATAAAAGTTCCTGAGTGACTTGGCTATACATTCATCTTTCCTTTCGTGGTCTCCCAACCCCACTTTCTACATGGAAGACCCCCTCATTGCTCCTCTCTACCCTAGGATTAGAGATTAAAGTAGGTTTTAATCCATCCAAAGACAGCAGTTTTTTGGCATGAATCAAATCAAGGAATGGTCATGACTCAGGAGATTGAGAACAAGGGATGGTGAGCTCTTAGCTTCTTCAGGATTTTTGCACAAATCATTTAATCACAGACACCCCACAAATTAAATGTATAGGTGTCTGGATTATTTTTGGGGAGGGCATGAAGGGGGAAAGAAGAGGGGGTAGGAATACAGTTCTTGCTGCTTTTTTGTTGACTTCTCCAGAACACAAAAATGCTTCAAGGAAAAAGACTCCTGCTTTGTTTTATTGACTCAGATTACTTTAAAAAGATTTTTTATGTCTTTTTTCAGTTCAAATCCAAGTAGAAAATTTGAAAACTACAAAGGAGCATAAAGAGGAAAATAACAGTAGAATGAACTTATTCTTCACATGATCCAGAAAGCAACCATCTTACCTCGCGTTAGGCCTGCCTGAGATAGTTGAGTTAATTAAGTGAGGTGGGGTTTGGAGTCAAGGGCTCCTATTCAAGCTCTCCTCACTGATTTTCATCAGGCTTATCTGGGCTGGAATTGCTGCCGATGGGAATGTGCCACTTACCCAGTGGCTGCCTGTACACAATTAAGATACAATTGACATGTAACATTATATGAGTTTCAGGTGTATAGCACAGTGACTTGATATATGTATATCTGATGAAATGATCACCACAGTAAGTCTAGTCAACATCTGTCACCACACATAGTTACAGTTTTTTTTCTTGTGATGAGAGCTGTTAAGATCTACTGTCTTAGCAACTTTCAAATATACAAAAGTGTTATTAACTGTAATCACCATGCTTGCTGTACATCATATCCCATGACTTATTTATTTTATAACTGGAAATTTGTAACTTTTGACCTCTTTCACCTGTCCCTTACCCCATGCCTCTGACAACCACCAATCTGTTCTCTGTACCTGTGAGCTTGTTTTTTGGGGTATTTTTGTTTTCTTAGATTCCATAATAAGCATAAGGTCATACAGTATTTGTCTTTCTCCGTCTGGCTTATCTCACTTAGCCTGATGCTCTCATGGTCCATCCATGCTGTTGCAAATGACAAGATTTCCTTCTCTTTCTTTACACACCGTATCTTCTTTATCCATTTATCCGTTGATAGACATTTAGGTTGTTGCCATATCTTGGCTATTGTAAATAAGGCTGCACTGAACATGGGAGTGCATATATCTTTTCGAATTAGTGTTTTTGTTTCCTTTGGATAAATACCCGGAAGTGGAATCGCTGTATCAACACAGGGGGTCTTGAGTCGTGAGGACAGTGGCTTTTTATTAACCCTGCCAGGACCCTTTGTAGTATTTCCTGGCTTAGGCAGATAAACTTCATCCAAATCACTGCAGTCAGAGGAGGTGGGGAAAATCTGTGTTGGTTTGCCAGGGCTGCCATAACAAAGCACCACAGACTGGGTGGCTTAAACAACAGAAATTTCTCACAGTTCAGGAGGCTAGAAGTCCAAGATCAAGGTGGCTGCAGGGTTGGTTTCTTCTAAGGCCTCCCTCCTTGGCTTGTAGTTGTCTGTCTTCTCCTGCCTGTGTCTTCACAGGCTCTTCCCTCTGTGCGGAAGCACTGACTTCTGTTTTCTTGGGACAAAGACAAGAACAATAGTCAGCTAGTCCCTCAAGACTAATTTAAACACACTGCCTTACCCAATGATTAGGCAGTCTTAGAACTGGACCAGACCCTCGACCAGCATCTTACCCAGCCTCCTATCCATACAAGAGCACCTGCCTTCACATCCCTTCCAGTGGTCATCCAGTCTCTGCCTGGTATTTCCAGAGATGAAAGCTCATTGTTTCACATCACGTCGCATGACATCTTCAATCAGCTCTAATTGTTGGGCCAGTGGGCTGTTACTTCTATGCACTGGTGTTGAATCTTCTTTTTGGAAAAGCGCTGAACACATCTTTTTTTCTGTGTATCAGCCGTTAAAGTTTTTTTTTTTTTTAAATGAGTGTCACCACTTGGGATGGTCTTCTCAGAACTAAACACTCTCAATTCTTTCAGATGTTCCTCATATGAATTGAGTTTTAGACTGTCCACCATCCAGCCTTTTTTGGATTATCTCAGATTCATCCGTGCCCTCCTTAAAATCGGACACCCCTAATTGAAACCCATACATAAACTGTGGTTCTTCCTGACACAGATATTACATCCTGTGATCCAGACATTGTCTCACTTCTATTAATGAAGATTCATTTACATAAACTACCTTAGTAGCTGCTTCACACCATAGGTTCATGTTGAGTTTTCCATTAGCAGGATCACCTAAAACCTGCTTCATCTTTCTACATGAACTGCTGTCCTGATGGCCTCCCCCATCCTGTGTTTGTATAATTGATTTACTGAACCTGAGTGCAAGACTTTATGGTTACCCTTTTTATATCTCAGTGATTGGGTTTTCAGCTACAACAGAAATAATTTTGAACTTTGAGGGTCATCCATCATATTTATTATTCTTCTGTGCATGTGTCAGCTGCAAAATTAATGTATCTTTACTGAAATCTCTGAGAACTAAGATTGATCAGGAAAGGTGCCCGGGCAAGCCATGGATCAGCCTGCAATGAGAGTTCCCTTGAGATGGACGCCGACAATTAATTAATTGGCACTCGTGGGATATATTTGTTCAAGCAGCTTCAAATCTGTCTCTATTATCATCTAGCTTTTCATAGTTGCTACTAAAGGCTCTACTCTGTAAACAATGAATTATATATATAAATGCTGAATAGAAATAATGCCGATGATTCAGTATTTAATTTATTGAAGATATTTATAAAGAAGTAACAAGATTAGGCATTTCTTATAGACTTTTAGGGCTGACTGTGATGCCATCAAGAGGAAAATGTGTGGGACTTCCCTGGTGGTCCAGTGGTTAAGACTCCGCACTTCCTCTTCAGGGGACACGAGTTCGATCCTTGGTCGGAGGAACTAAGATCCCGCATGCCGACCGGCGGGGCCGAGGGAAAAAAAAAAAAAAATTAGAGGAAAGTGTAGACTAATTCCCCAGCCAAGTGTATAACGGCGATGGCAGATAGACCTAAAGCTATAAAGCCAACATTTAAGTGACAAAGTCTGCAATAGAGGAGTCATTTGCTATCAAACTGCAACTGTCTTATAATGGTGTACATTCATGAATGCCCCCAAAGTTAACTCAACTCTCATTGGTCAGGCTTTCCGCTGAGTGCCTATCCCAACCCCTTCTTGAGCCGTCCCCTCTCCTCCTCTTCCCTTTTCTCCACTGTCTGCAGGGTCCTCACCTCCTTCTCTCATCTTTGGTGGTAGAACAGTCAGCCCTCCCTTTGTTTTGGGATACTTTAAGACCAGGTTGTAGGACTGTCCTTTCACATCCAAGTGACCCATTCAGATATTCAGAAAACAAAAATCAATGAGGTTCTCACCCTAAAAGGAATTATGCTGCCAGCTTAATTATGATCAAATTAATTGCTAACCTTTTTTAGCATCTAGTGTGTGTCCAGTACTGTACTAAGCACTTGTTTTTTTTTAATTTTTTTGGCCACGTGGCATGTGGGATCTTAGTTCCCAGAGCAGGGATCTAACCTGCACCCCCTGCATTGGCAGCGCAGAGCCTTAACCACTGGACCGCCAGGGAAGTCCCAGTACCAAGCACTTTAAATCGACTAAACATATGGGAAAGCTCATGTTCTGACTTGGTTTCCTCATTTATGAAGAAAATGAATAAGAGAGATGATTGGTCAGAACCAAGAGGTTCTGATTTTTTTTTTTGGCCACACCCAGCAGCTTGCTCTATCTTAGCTCCCCAACCAGAGATTGAACCCGGGCCTCTGCAGCGAAAGCGCCGAGTCCTAACTACTGGACCACCAGGGAATTCCCAAGAGGTTCTGATTTTAAAGTCATATATTTTCTGCCCTCTAACAGGATATTCTTCATCTATTTAACTGGGTATTATTAATCTATAATACACTCTTAAATGTAAGAAGACACATTTTTCAGGTAGTCCATTAGATGTCACTGAGTTTGATAATACATGTAAATCTGAAGTCAGAATGTAAAATATGATATTTAGGAACATGATAACAGAGTATGAGGACGTTCAGGGAGATTTGAAATTCATAAATCTGTAGATTGATTTCCATTCACCAGATGTGGAAAATTAAACTGTCTTAGAATACCATGTGTAATGGAAGCTTACTAAAGGATGGGTATTGTTTACACCAGTAACTTCATTATTAACTGAAAACCAGTTGCACATCGGTGTGCCTGCTGTACACACTTAATTTTTAAAAACAGATAGGTGTATTATCATCCACACTGAAACATGTTTGGGAATGAAAGGAGGTGGTATTAATAATTACACCAGGACCACAGAGATAAACTGAGACTGTCCTGAGCAAACAGAAACATGGGTCCTTCTTGATAAAACCCAAGTTCCATGAGACTGGATGGTCTATATTTCATCTCCCAATTAGTCTCCTTTTTAGACCACCCTCAACACATTAACGTAGTATTTTAAAACTGAGCCTTAGAGAAAAGGTTTTCTGGGCACGGAATATAAATAGAAAGAAGAATACTGGCTTTTCGTCATAGGGAAAGAGAACGCAAAATAAATGTTGAATTTCAAACTGCCTTCTGTCTCACGTAGGAGATGTTTTGTCATTTACTCCTCCTCAGTCAGTTTCCCTGGATATAATTTGGGTCAATACTGAAAATGCTCACAAAA